TGTATAAACATTATCCAAATGTTCTGCTGGATATGTTACTATGTGAGAGTCATTCATCATCCATATTTAGCACATAATTAAACAATTTCTTTTCATTGTTAATATAATTACAAGTAGTTGCTACATATAACAGAGGCTTGAGATGACCATCCATCAGTTTTCAAACATGCGTATCCAGTATAGTTCAGATAATTTAACGCTTCAGTCTTTGTCTTGTAAAAGGTCTTTGGAAAAACCTTGTCATAGAAATGTTGTCTAGAAGGTATAGTATAACTTGGCTCTAATCATCATGTAGCATGTTCCTAAATCCTTCATAAGGTCTCATGTCCTTATCAATAAACTCTCCAATAGCTTCAGTAATTGCAGCCTCTTTAAATCACTTATTTTCTGCCAAACATACTAGGGTATTTTCATTTGAGATCAACTTTTCCTGAAACAGAAGATGTGCCCTGTAAATTCTTTTTTCTTTTTAACAAACTAATTTATTTATATAAAAGTTTAAATAATGAAAATTATCATGTTATATTTCATGATGTTTCAACTGCCAATTTTGATTTTTATAAAAATTCAGATTTAAATTTTCTTTTATAATTCTTTGTTTATTAGAGCTATTTCATATTAGAGGAAATGTGAGCTAATGTAAGTTTTGACTTCATGTAAATACTAAGTAGTGGATATAAAATTATAATCATAGTTACCTTTGTGCTGGATTGGACAGACACCTAGTTGTTTAATCCTTTATCGCTACGATGATGAATGAGATGTGTACAGATGTTCATTGAATTACTAGAGTATTTTATCTCTCTATCAGACATTTTCTGTAAACCATTTTTTTTACAAGATTTAAATAGAAAAGTTTTCCACTCTTTTGATTCGTAAACAAATCATCTTAAGTGTTTAAAGGATGATAATAGTGAAGTTTAGTAACTACATTGTTAACGGTTCAGTGCTGTAAGCTTAATATATATACGTTAATTCAATTTGTAGTTAAAGGTGAGGCTGCTGTGTTAACAATATTATTACTTTTGATTGGTCGAATATCATGTAATAATGAAAAGATTGTAGAAGTAGCTTCTGAATGATTTAATTAGTTGTTATAACTTGATTATATAATATTTTCACCAAATTCAATAATTTATAAAGATTCATGTATTTGTTATGTTTAATGTTAATACTTATTTTTTGGTCTGACCTAAATCAAAGAAAGAGCATAGACAGAACTAATGCAAGAGGTTACTATAGTATACTTAGTTGTATTAACCTTTAGTACTACATTGTTTGGTTTAAATACTATTTGTGAGTTAGATTAGTATTTGTGTCCCAGTTTGTAGGATTTTATAAAATAGATTCCAGTATGATATATATATTTTTAGCAGATATATTAGTCTGTTTTTGGCAGTGAATGATGATAGTGATTAATGCTAACTAGAGTTACTTTTAGGTATCAACAGATATCTAACAAAGCATTTCAAAAATAATGTAAATTTCCCATGCAAAACAGGCATGACATTTCTGGAATGGCTCAATGAGATCTTGAGTCTTGAATCAGTTTCCATTTTCATAAAAAATGAAAAAGTAAACAAGTGTTAGCTTATGAATTCATTTGTCACACATTAGTCAAGTCATAAGCTGTCACAGGATTTGCTGGTAATTATCTACCATCAAGTAACAACTGTGGTTTCTTTATAACAATTAAATGCTAATTAGGTGCCATGAGTTTGTGACTAATTTGAACATGCTTTAAATGCACAACTCTTTTTCAGTATTTCAGATACTTAGCCATTTAATAGTAATGCACACACACACACACACACACATATACACACACACACACATATACATATCTACACATTAAAAACTAATAATATTAGTCACTAATATTTATTTTCTGCTATAAATCAGAAACTGACTTTTTTGTCATGGGTGCACGGACAATTCGGGAATGCACACAATACGTTATTTGCAGTTGTGTTTCATTATAGCCCAAGAGAAATGCCTGTGATAATTTTTTTTGCTCAAATCTGCTGCATTCATTGTATTAAGTTAATAACAGAAAATATGAACTCTTTTAACATGTTATTTTCAGAGAAGAAAATTACCTTTTATAAGGCACCACTGAGAAAGTTATAGTACAAATATTTCTATATTAATTGTATTTTATACATGAATAATATAGAGAAAGATCTTTTTAATATTTTTACCAGCTGAAAATCCTACATATTTTCAAAAACATAACATCACTTATTACAGGGCAAACAAAAAAAAGAGTAGGTTCCTCTACTAAAAAATCTCATATTGCAATTTCTTCACAATCAAACATATTCACAACATTTACCCAAGGTTTAAGATAATTACTACATTTAACATTTTGGTGTTAAAATTGTTTTTGGAAGAAAAAGTATGTTACATCGATTGATCAGTGTTTCTTCACAACATTTACCCAAGGTTTAAGATAATTACTGCATTTAACATTTTGGTGTTAAAATTGTTTTTTGAAGAAAAAATATGTTGCATCGATTGATCAGTGTTTCAGCTGACAGTGTACCTTCTGTTGAAAAACATTTATTTTGGAGAAATCTTTTGCCTCAATTTTTTTCCAAGATAACCTGAATATTTCCTATTTTTCGAATTGCTAATAGTGAAATGATCATGTAGTTGCCATTGTTTTTGAAATATGCCTTAATACCCTTATTGATCTCACGTAAATCAAATAATTAAAATATGTTTTATTTAAAACGTATCATGATTGTCATTAGATATAAGTAACCAGTTAGCTAATTTATTTATGGGTTGTTTGTATATGATAAACATAAAAATAATATTTAATAAATAAGGATTTGAGATACCAGAATATTTTGCCATTGCCTACCATACTCACTAAACCTAACTAAGCTTACCTTACACCTTCTCATTGAAGAAAGTTTCTATATCTTTAAAACATATGTAATTTAACATGAAAAGTTTTGTTAACAAAAAAGAATGTCTAAAGAGACTACATAGAAAAAAATTCACATCACAATTTGTTTTTCCTTAGTCTTCAAAACTTCACATTGAATGTCTTTGTCCAATGCTACAGGAGATTTGACTAGAAACTCTCCCATGAAACAATCAACTATAGCTCAAAACACTATTTAGTGATGCGAAAAGTCTAATTCTTGTTCATAAAAATATACAAAAAATTCATGAAATTTTAAAGGGACAAAAAGGAGCTTATTAGCTCATCAAGGATGTCCCTTTCAGCTCCCAACTATAACCACCTTGAGGAAGGGAGTCCAAAAATGTACACAGTACTCTAAATGAGGCCTTACAAGTGATTTATACAGTGAAACCAAAATATCCTCTGTCTTGTATTCAATATTTCTATAGATGCTACCCAAAATCCTATTAGCCCTATTGCTAGCTACAATACATTGTTTAGATGACTTAAGTGATTTTGCTATCACAACACCAAGATCTTTTTCTTAAACCATAGTATTTGATGTATTCCTATTTAAATAACAATAATTTGAATTGTGAAAACCTACATGCATCACCTTACATTTTGGATAGTTAAACATCATC